AATTATTATTGATAAAGAAATTTTGTTGATGTTTTAAAATTTTTTTTCACCTATTGCTATTTACCCTTAAAAAAGCTAATACTCTTAAATAATTCTAAATCTTTATTCAGATTATTACAAGTTCAATCATAATTTCGATTCCACTGATACATGTGGTACTTCATATAAGAATATCTAAGAAATTTTGCTGGTTGTCATACTGTTAATTCCACGTTAAAAAATCGGTATGAAACCAATTTCATTTTAAAACTGTAAACATTTACACTACGGTTGGATGTGTTTCCAAGATCATGGCAAACGTGGAACACATTGGAAATTTTGTTTAAAAAAATGAATGGGAAAAAAATTTCATTTTATTGTTTAAACTAGGTTTGCACAATGTCATAAATACTAAAGCGTATTCTGAATATTATAATTAGAAAGGAGTGCTTTTAAACTTTCAGAATACGTAGGTCCAATTTTATTAACGTCAATAGACTGCTTTACAGCTTTGAAAAGTGTCATGTTGCTTGGCTCGTTTGGCCATCTTAATTTTGGCGCAATAAATTTAAATCAAGATTCAAAATGATCATTGTGAAACTTTCAATACAGTTTTACGTATATTATGTTTTATAAATCCATTCAAGTACTTTCTGTTTACTGACGCCACTTTATTCTGTTGTGTAAACATAACAAAACTAAAAAGCAGACGTCATTTCGCTATTTGATCAGTACTTATTTATGTCCTCGCTGCTTTCAAGTCTCGACTGCATATACCAACCGCAAGTCACAACCGTTTGAAGCAAGTGCCATTCGTAATCACTACCGCCCATGCACGCGCGCCACTCGCAGCTACTTATATATTATACACAAATTATATATCTATATCGACTTATATAACGATTGACATCGCTCGGGTAATCTCAAAGAAAACGGATAAAACAACATAACAAGAATGCTGCCTACTACAGTCTACAGCGCTGCCATTACCTGGTGCTCACGCGATTGGCCTGCTACGGCACTTACCGTCGGGAGCACGTCGAGAACATGAGCTCGTCGTCCGGGAGCCAGCAGCAGGTGCGCGTCAAGGTTCTGTTTTTCGCTCAAGCACGTGAGTTAGCCGGTGTCTCCGAGTCGGAGCTTCTGCTGCCAGCGCGACTTGCCTCGAACGATTTAAAGGGACGCCTCATTAGCGAATTCCATCTGAGTCTCATCAACGGGGTCTTCGTTGTCGCGCTCAACGAGTCTTTCGTCGAGGAGGACACGCACCTGGAGCTTCGCGAGTCAGACGAGATCGCCGTTATTCCACCCTTGAGCGGAGGTGCGTTTTCTGATCTAGTACTTGTTAGATTTAGGATGTATTATGAATGAACCTATGCTTTTTTATGAATTCAATTACTGAAACTTGAAAAGAATGTGGCAAGTGAGACGTCATTATTTACAATATTTCATTACTGCAGGATAACATGGACACCTATCAAGATTTAGTTGGTCTTGAAAGCAATGTATTAAACATCAATGACATTATTCAATCTGTCACTTCAGCTTCTTGTGGTGCAGTCTCTACCTTCATTGGCACAACTAGAGATAATTTTGAAGATAAGAAGGTAAAATTTATCATCTGTTTAGAACAAAAATATGAGATCTTTACATTTTTGTTATTTAAAGGTTATAAAACTAGAATATGAAGCTTACGAACCAATGGCTCTTAAGCAAATGAGAGCTGTTTGCAATAAAATAAGATCACAATGGAGCGTTGAAAAAATTGCTATATATCATCGATTAGGAGAAGTTCCTGTCAAAGAAGCAAGTATTGTTATTGCCATATCGTCACCGCACCGACAGGAGTCATTGCTAGCTGTGCAATATGCCATAGATGCTGTCAAAACATCTGTACCCATATGGAAAAAAGAAATTTATGCAGGTCATAGGCCTCAGTGGAAAGAAAACAAGGAGTGCGCTTGGTCCACAAGTAAATAATTTTTTTTTACTTGTTTGTTATTTTTACTTTCTTATTTTCACATTTTACTTATTTATTGACAATTTTGTATTTTAATAAATTTTGTTGCAATTTGTTTTGGTTGATAAATAATTTTTATTTTTTATTATACTTTCCATATTAATAATAAAATTCCTACCATCTTTTTCTTTGACAAATTAAATCTAACATTATGTCAGTAGATGATTTTTAATATGACCAAAAACAATCTCAAAATTGTTGTTCTAATTTTCATCTTTAGACTCTTTAGATTAAATTATGATCTTTTAATTAAAGTTGCATAAAATGAAGTTGAGTAATTACTTTTTCTTGCATTGTTTTTATTTTTTCATTTGCTTTTATTGACTCATAGTAAAATTTTATTTCATAATTTTTTCTAGACAATGTAAACACAATTGATAAACAAACAGAAGATTTTGATATGGATAAGAACAGTCACATAGATCATGATTATGGTGTTTCACCTAGTGATGAACACTTGAAAATTAATCCAGATGAGATACAAATTAAGGCTGATGATGCTGAAATTAAAAGGAGAATAGAAGCTTTTATTTCACTCAAAAAGAATTCTGATACTTCATATAAACCTTATATTCATAAGACTGGCAGGTAATTTAACTTTTAATGCAACCATTGTATGTAGTATTTGATAATTTTTTAATATCACATTTTATTCTTATATTTTAAAATTAGCCAAAATGATGACATTGAAAATACAGAGGTCTGTGCGCGAGTTAATTGTATTTACAGAAGACTTGAAGATTCAAAAAGTCATATAAAAGGTAAAACATTTTTGATAATTTTTTATCCTTAAAAATAACAGGATTTTGCAGAGCCTAGGCTTTGCAGGAACCCTGGTTTGGACAGGTGGACAAATCTAAGATGGCATGAATGGTTTTTAATAATATTCTGATTACAATTAATAATTAAAATAATAGTTGGCAGAGTTTACAACCAGTGGAGCCATCAGAGTACACAATCTTCTCTTCTTATAAAAAGTAAGGATAAAACAAGTAATCATACAACTGCCCTTGAAGAGAGATTATGTGCTAGTGAACAATTTCTTGGAATCAATAAACCAGTTCCTAAGGATGTATATGAGAGAATAAAAAATATTGAAGACAGACTTTTGCACTTAGAGTGTATATCTCCAGAGTACAAATTCATGTGGGTAAGTAATTTTTTTTATGTACGGAATTAATTATTTAAAATACGTAGCAATGGACATAACAATCACTGTTAATAAAGAAAATTTCATAACATGAAAAATAACATGGTTGAAATTAACATTACAGAAGAGAAGTGCACGAATCAATGTAGGTACAGATGACGAAAGCAATGAGAAAGAAGATGACTCGAAAGATGATTCAGATTATGCAACAAATTCAGATAATACAACAAATAAAAAAAGGGTTAGTAAAGTAAAATAAATTTCCAGAGTAAACTAAATATTTAGAAATAAAACTAAGTACTTTGATTACAGATTTACTCAACAGATTCTGAAGATAGGTATGTTAAAAAAGTTAAGAGGTAGCGCAACAAGAAAACAAGCTTAGTTATGTTTGTTTCAAACATATTATTTTGTAAATATTTAAATTAATTTATAAATAGGAAATTGTTACTAAAGAATCAAAAATAACTATTTTTATACTTAAAGTTAATAGTTAAATTGGATTAATTATTGTTTCAAATGTGTTTCAAACAATGATAAAATGGAAGCAGATATAATCATTATTGTTAAATACATGAATTGTTTCATGATAGTTTCTATCATTGGTTTAAATAATGTTACATAGTATTAGATTAATTTTACTATACATATTAGTCAAGAGAATATTTTTTATACAAACTAAAAAAATATGTTTAATAAATTTTTAGTCATTTTTACTCATAAATTGACAAGAAAGCTTAGCTTTGTATTTTTTAAAATGCCCTAAAAAGTTCTATTCTTTGGTGTTGAGTTTTGATGTTATTCAAATTTAATATAGAGTCTTGCAGTAAAGGAATTAATGAATCTTAAAATAAATATCACTTCTTCAAAAAATAACATATAATAAAAAAGTTTCGTATGAATTTCTTTTAGAATCTTTTTAATAAAGAATTTCCTCACGTATGGATTTATCGAAACATAGTATACTAATTATAACATGAATTGTTGCATTTTGCCAGGTACGTTGATAAAGACGAAACGAACAGTATCATTCGAGTGGAGCGCGTTTGAATTGGTTGTTTGGCAAAACGACAGACTGCGCGCGAGTTGGAATTCATCCCACGCCGCTGCCGCGCCAAGTTTTTCTCTCTCTCTCTCTCTGTCTATATCGCGTTGTATATGTGTGTATACGGCCATGGCCATTGGGTCTCATCGGCAGCCGCAAATTGCAACAGCAGCAGAACAGCCTAGCTCAGCAGCTAATGCGGCAGTGGTGGCGGCGGCTGCTGCGGCTCCTTTCGCATTTTTCCTCTCTTCCCTGTATCATCTCCATGCCTTTTTCCCTTTCTTTCTCTCTTTTTGTCTAATTCATACCTTTCGGCTCGATAGCCGCTCTGTGTGTAAATATATAAATTCACATGTATTGTTTTTATAAGAGGAGCCGCTGGTGCTGAGCTATGTTTGTAATATCACATCTACACGCGCTCGTATTAGTCAAATTTTGATAAGTCGTCTATAGCAGGCCGTAGTTATAGAGCAGGCCTCATAATGATTATTCGCGCACGGTCTAATGTGTCAGACACGCGAATCCTCGCACATCTAGTTGGCAGTTAGTGAGGTGTTGTTGTTGTTGTTTTTGTTGTGTCTGTGTGTATGTGTGTGTCGGCCTCATCATCGTTCGGTTTACAAACACGCGAACGCTCAAGTAGTTATGTATAATAATAATAATAATGAAGCCGAGAGCTGCTCCTATTTTCCACATTACAGCCTCAAGCTCGTCTTGTAAATAGTGTTTGAGTAATCGTGAATAAAGCAATAGTAGTAATATTAAAAAAAAAGAGAGGAAAAAAGTGTAGTGCCGGTGCTATCGCGTAGCTCTCAAATACGAGATATATAACGGAGCCAAGATCCTATTCTATGTGCCCGAAGAGAAAATCGAATTTGTCACCGAGAGCGAGAACGAAATCATCAACCAAGTCGTCGTGCCTCGTGCATACCTGTGCTCGAGTCAGGCTGACTGCACGACGAGGCCAGCATCATCGGTCGCACAGCTGATCTCGCGTATATAGTTCGGAGCACGAGCATCTCTTAGCGTATAACGCAGGTGAGTTTTGGATCTAATGTGCATGCGTCTTCATCGAGTCTTTCTTATTATATATGTAGGCATAGTTCAACTGTCGCAAGATGAGAGGAAAAGAGAGAGATGAGTCGAACGCCAAGCTCTCGCGGCACAGCAGCAGCGTTGCTACTTGCCATATAGGTATAGGCAGCGAGTCGCTACATAGTGTCTTTGCGGCAACGTGCGCGGCGCATTCGACAACACCGAATATATCTATACATGTTTCGCGGTACTTTCGTACATTATATAGTAATACACGGACGGAAGAAAAGCACAAAACCTTGCTGCTCCTGCATCCTGCATCTCGCGCGCTCTTATACCGCAGCTGCAACTGCACAAAACCGTCGATAGTTATCTCTCTCCTTCTCGCGGGCTATGCACAACACGCTGCGACTTTTATCGACGCAGCGTGTAGCGTTTATATACATGTATATATTGTACATGTACAGCAGTGGCAGTACGAGCCCGTCACTCTCTCCCTCTCGCCTTGGCGACACGCGCCCTTCAAATCTACCTTCTAACCTGAATAGACCGCGAGTGCACATGCGTGCGTGTATATTATACACTACACGTGTAAATGGAAAATCGAACAACGTGCGTCGTCGCATTTATACTTGTAGGTATATATACGTTCTGCGCGTTTCCGAGTAACGAAGGAGCGACTCTAATGTCTTTCCGAGTAACGCTCATTACTTTTCTAGTTGGCTCGAACGAACGTCGCGTTCGAATTAACGAATGCGTTTTCAACGTGCCCCGCCAGTTCAAATGCAGAAAGAAGGCGCGAATCGCGTCGTCTGCATCGTGCCGCATGATCGGCCGTATTCCGCGCGCTACTCGCTACGTCAATTATGTAATAACGAGATGCATCTCGCATTTTTGAATCGACGCCAAAAAGTCCCTTTAAATATATTAAATATATATATTTCTGTGCGTGTGTGTATAAGAGAGGCTGCTGCTCTCGTGCGGCGACATTATACACTGCTGGTACGCAACACGAGGTGCGTGTGCAATTGCGACGCGACGAGCCTCTTGTACGCCGCAACAATCCCTGCCGACGAAGTTTATATACAGCAAGAAGAGTAAGTGAGAGAGAATTTCTGGCGAGGAAAAATCGATTGCGCGCGTTACGTGCCCGGCTGCTTACCGCCTAGTACATTTTATCGTATATAATATATATACTTGGGCTTCTCGCCTCGCGCAGCGCAAAATTTCAACCCCCTGCGATTTGGTTTTTTCTTCCTGTAGGCCGACTGTCCACCCCGTACCCGATTAATGCTGTATTATATATGGCCCACAGGATACATACGCACGTCGCATACAGTCATCGCTGCAGTCGAGCTAGCTGCAGGCGTGAGTCTCTCTATATACTTGTATAACTGTTTGCGTAGGTAATATACGTGCATTACAAATAGTAGCGCGCACAGCCTATCTGCACACTATATTGCTTAGCTGCGCGTATAAAAACATAGGGTATAAGTTTCGCGCCCCGTCGGCGGCTTATATGGCAGTAGCTCGTTTGCCGCTTGCCGGAAGGAGGGTGCGCGACTCTGGCCTCCTGTATTATTATGACACACACACGCGCGCGTGTGTAGGTATATAGGGGGTGAATCATTGCTTCGATTACATTACGCACATCTTCCGAATTTTGTCGATGCGCATTCGAGTATCCAAAAGTTAGCTAGTACAAAATATTAAATGCGCATTGCAGTGCTTTATTAAATTTTTTTTATTGTATTTTCACCTTTAATCGTGTGAGCGATTTTTGAACAAACGAGGCAATATTTTGTGCGCACAATTGCGGCTGAGCTTGGTTGTTCGCCAAGCAGACTTGCGAGCCTAGGCTCGTTTCCTCGATGCTTAAACATCAACTATGCTTTGAATTTTCTTTGACGCTTAAGTGTAACAAACGAGCTAAATTGCTCATTATAATTTCGAGTAAACTCGCGCGTAATGAGGTTTCAGCGGTGCGGTCGATGCTTCTTAGCTACATATTATACGTACCCTTTCGCAAGCTGAATACGATATTATATCGTTTATAGGCTATATGAAAAACACTGATCTTGTTACGCTTTTTACCGTTACGAATCTCAATTTGGCGAATCACAATAGATTTCCGAAATACATTTGTATCGATTGAGAAATCGACACTGGTTCGACGCTATTAAGTGCCGTTACCCCTTCAAATGAATAAAAAAAATCACTACTCAGCGCTAATTGCCGTTATCTGCGTTTGAAATTGATCCCGCGCGAGTAAGCTACTCTAGTGAATCTACTTTCCGAGTTGTAAAACTATACGTGTATGTATGTGTAATCGTTATGCAAAGCAATTTACGACTCGAGGCGTAAAATTCATTCATCGAGGATCGCATATAGAGGCGCGCGCTCCATCGATGAAGATATTACAACGTATCCAAGAGTGCACAGATCGATCGCAATTTGTGTCTGTAACGCGATGAGAACTATATGTATACTATATAGACTATTATTACATGCACATAACGAAGCTAACCACACGATCATTAAGCGATCCGTTCTAATTTACGTTTTCTTTTCGTCTGATTTTTTGGACCAATTACTCGTTTGGAAATGAGTTATTTTAATATCCGTACGAGCCTGGCTCGTGATTAACGCCCTGCGCGTCAAACTTATGACACGAGCATATTTATTTTATGTCATTTTCTTTTTTTTTTTTCGGGTCACCGAACTCGGCCTATTAGCAGCGGCACCTTCTCTCGCTTAAATTCGTACACAATTCACGGCCACCACAGGCTGCTGGTATATATATGACTCGACCGCAATCTTGATTGAGTGTCGCGAAAAAAAAATTAAATATCTTAACCGAACCTCGTTCATATTATTATTATGTGACTTTTCAAAATTCGTCACGATCGTCGATTGTTTCACCATTGTTTTTACCTTACATACGTGCAATTTTCTCGATGATTCGACTCGAGCGATCGAAGTCTTCGAGAAATTTATCCAAGTATAAAAACTACATCCACTCGTTTAAAACTTCCTCGCTGCAGTACGCCACATTTCCTGGGTCAGACCACTTTTCTTTGCTAATCAATTATTACTTGAGAGTTCGTTATTGTATATATATCGTATCCTTAGCATCGCTATATCCACAATCTCGTTATTACCTAAATCGAAACGTAGCACCATTCACGCAACTTTGTGTTCTAGTTCACGTCCATCAATCTGTCAAAAATATATATTTTCTTTCGTTTTACGTCACGAAGAGAATTTTCCCACTTTGTTTCAAGCTTTTCAAAAATTTGCCAATGCGAGGCTGCTCGTATGAATTTACACATTTTGCATATAATAAACATAATTTGGAAAGTCAGAAAATTCGAAAGTTTGAGCTATTTCAATGGGTTCACATATGTTTAATTGCGTGTGCTTGAAAATTAATGAACTTTGAGCGGTATTTCGGGTTACATAAGGAAATGCGCCCGTTTATACTTCATACAAGCTTCCTTCGAAAGGCAACATATTTTAGCACTGATTAAACTCTCCACTTTGCGAGCAAATTATGAACATATTATATACACATATATATAACGATATCGATAAATCAATCTCGGCCCGAGGTATGACGGGCATCTCGTATAACGCGCTGAGACTTTGTTATATATTTGCACACGCAGACTCGCGGACGCGAGGATATTACGTATCGTATAGCGAACGAGAAAGAAAGGAAGTGCAAAAAAAAAGGGAACGAGTCCGAATAAATATAATGAGCTGCTGCTGCTGCTGCTGCTGCTGCTGTGTATCATAGATTTTTACATTCGCACACACGCGCATAAATGTATTCGCGTATACGTAATGTTATGCTTCCGATGCGTGGGTGTTGCAATGGGGCATTATAGTATAATGCCGCACACATGCAAACAAAACCCGACCAAGGCCTGTTGTACGCGCGGGCTAATATCGATTAAGAAACTTCCAAGTTCAACCTTCCGGTTTCGTCACAGGCATGGCACGCAGCAGCGCCAGCGATCGACTGCATTTCATTTTTCCTCATTTTTCAATTTAATATCGCCTACATTATAGCGTAATCCCAATGATCGTGCGCATATAGTCCGAGTTTGTTGTAAACCGCGAAAACGTGATATTGCATTTTGTGAATGCGTATGTATAATATATTGTGTGTTGAGCTTTTTTTGTACAAATTGCGCCTCGTTGCAATGGTGTTTTTTTAGATCAAGGTTTTCCGTGCATATATTCATAATTTACTATTTTTTTTCGTTATCAATAGCATTGAAACGTATATAAAATGAGTATAAGTACTTATAGAGGTGAAACCAAGGAAAGTGGTAAATCTAAACGAGGTATAATTGTATATGAAAAATGAGTATTTCGAGTGATGCATATAACCTTAGCAAAAAAGAAAACGTCTTCAACAAGTAGATTGAAAAAATTCAACCGAGTCCAACCAGTCGAATCGGCGAAGAGATTGTGCGCGCGAGACTCTCGCGGCTATATCTACGAACGCATTGTGTATACGCACCTATAAATTCGCAATTATAAAAGCAGTCGTTCTGAGCCGGTGAACCGGATGATCCAAATAATTGTTTCGAGCGCTGCGCCAGCAGTAGTTTCATTAGTGTACTTATGTAAGAGCTCCTGTGGACGCATCGCTTGAATCAAAATACAGCGCGACGCCAAAACGAGATTATAAACGCGGCTTATACACAAACGTATGAGAAAGGATGACGCGATGACGACACGATGATCGGCGCACCGGTAATTTGGACAATAGCGGCTTATGTATGCGCGCGAACAATTCAACACAAAGAAGCTTCCGTTTTTCGGCGGTTAAAAGAAAAAAGAAAAAAATATTTGATTGGAAGCGTGTTGTTGATCATTAGTGATTTTTGAATAATTTCGAAAAAAAAGTAGAGGTACAAAGTAGTTTTTTTTTGGACTCGACAAGCTCTTTGCGAATCATGCGGTGTACTAGGCTTGGATGCACGTTGATT